CACATTCTAAGCAGAATGGTCTCAAAAATGAAAGCACAAAACTTGTTTGGTGAATGTGCACACATTCACAGAAACTCAAGGGCACTCTGTTTTTGCAATAAAGCCTCTTAAGGATCCATACTGAATAGTATTACTGTTCAGGTGGTTAGCGAGTCGACAAAGGCATTCAGAATGACATGCTCCCATGTCAGATACGATATTGCTTCACTAGTCATCAATTCCTTTAGGTATTTATTTCCTGAAACAAATTCATGGCTGCCCTAAGAGGAAAAATGCATTCCAACTATTCTTTGTCATTTTAGAAGGTTGTATGTAAACTGTAGGCAATATATGAGGAGTACCATCTTTTGTTTCAGTTGGTACCCTCACTGGTTTGTTGCTGCAGTGTTAAAAAGGAGCTTTATCATAGACTATAAAGTCAAATGTTTCCCGTTTCAAGAAAAAAAATACAGATTAGGACCCTATTACTTCAGCTGTTGACTGGAATTTTCTGATAGAATTCATCTTATTTTCTTCACTGCTTTAGTTCACCTTTACAGATGACATTTTTCAAACTATAAAATGCTCTCCACTGCTAAAAGTTTCTTGCTTCAACAGTTTCTCATTGCTGTAAGAGTAAATCTACATCCTTTGTTACTAATACATACAGCACTATTGGTATGTGACTTTGTCTCAAGGCTGAGAACAGGCTATAAATTTAGAAATCAATAGCTAACTCTATCAATATTCATTTTACTTTTTCAATACAAAATACAAAGGTGAAAGAGCAGTAAATAAGCCAGAGCGCTGAAATAAATTGGGTGTTCTTGTCACAATTAATAAATGTTTAACCAATAACACTTCTAGCTACAGTAAGCTACAGCCTTGTAACACATCTGAAGGTACATAGTGGCACAGGTGCTGAACAGAGGATCTGCACATACACAAACACCCAATTTCAACAGTTTGTTAGCTCCATCACACTATCTGTCCTCCAAACATGCATAAATAAGATTGTTCAACATGCTGCATACAAAGATAGGAAAAAACATTTGTCATCAGTGGACATTTATGAATGTGGCAATAGAAATGGGCTTTTACTGTGAAGCTGACATTCTTTGCAAGGGCTGAACCTTTAGGATAAGGTTAATCAATGTCGAAAGGAGTGACTAAAATAAAATAATTAACTTGTATTTAAAAACCACTGTGAGGCATATTTGCATTGAGTTACATATGTGTCAAAGTGGGAAACACACATTTGATGGGGTTCTGGAATGAATTCACGTCTTAGTTATTCACTCTTTGTAGAATGTTAGCAGCCATTTAAATAATTTTACGTCGAAAAAAAAAGCAAAACACCCTAGTTCTATTAGCCAGTGTTCTCAAGGCATATATTCAGAGCTGGCACTGGAAAAAAATAATATCAAACAATAGAAGCAGGCTTTCCTAAGTAGGTGCAGAGTGCATTTTTCATATAATTTAGAAATTTAAAAAGGGCCCATACTTAAGAGGGAGAGGGCTTTCAGCTCAGGGGCTACTGTCTGCCAACTGATGTGAGCCATAGCAACTCATTTTCTTGAGAGGAACCATGTCATCCAATCAGGCCCATGGATCCCAGCATTTTACACTCAGCCATCACAGTGGTGCAATATCTACTCCCACCCGTTGCAAAGTAGACACATTTAACAGCACCCACCCTGTGATACTCAGGACACCAGGGGCAGTAGACTTTTGCCATCCTGGATGTGGTCTCTTGTAGGCCTTTATAGTTATAGTTCTCTGCATGGTTCTATCAAAGAAAGCTAGATGATTCTCCTAAACATTTCCATGATAGGATGCTGCAGCAGAGCCAGCCTACCTTTGTGCCTTCATTATTACTGGGAAGCAGGGGAGGAGGCAGCAAGGCTGAAAGATAATGACTCGTTTGGACCTAGCTAATGAGTTCATGGTTAACTGAGATTTGAACCAGGAGTATCTCCGACTCACAGTTCACGCTCATACCCACTCCATTGTGTGGAACCTCTCTGTAGTTACTGAGTAGCACTTTCCTCTATTCTTATCCAATGAGTTGCCCTTGAAGAGCAGTAGCATAATTCTAATTCTCAAAGCCCATGCTGAATCACTTATTTAAAAAACAAAACAAAACACCATACAAATCATTTAAATACTGCAAGATTAAAGAATTTTAATGCTGTTATTCTCACAACCCAAAACGTTACATTGTTAGCTTATACAGAGTTAAGCTACTGAATGGGTTGGAAACTGGGGCTCAAAAAAGTACAAAACGACGTAAATGTAAAACCTAAGGTTAATTTTATGATGCCTTATATGCACACAGACTTGACAAAATTACTTCCTTCTGTCTCTCGCAAGTTGTGAAGTTAAAATCACCTTGTAGAAATAATTATATTATCCTCTTGTCAGCCATTAAGCATTTTCCTTCTCACCACACATATGTTCGGAATCTTCGGACCTGACCTAGACATTTTCCTCTTTCCATGTTGCAGCCGTTAAAGGCATAGTCCTATGCAGGTTAGGCAGAAAAAAGACCATGTTGGGAGTTGCAGGCCCTTTTTTCCTGTCCAAACTTGCACAAGCTTGTGCCCTAAGGTACTTTAGCAATCTTTTTTAGATTATTCTTGGTCTGTTGCTGTCATTGATGACTGCAATGCTGCCAAAAGGGTAGACTCAGAGTTGACTAACTTCTGGGAACAGCTTTACAGGTCTAAATTTGTGTAAGAACTATACCTGTAAATACATTTTTATAAATGTTATAACATGACATGCAGAGTACAATAACTTAGAAAAACACCTATGGCATATCATACCCAATCAACAGTAGTCCTTGATACTGAGGTTCAAACTCCATGTTACATTACTGTATACTGTGTAACTAAGGCTTTGTTTTTGTTTGTTTGGTTACTACTCTAGAATACTCTACTTGGTGGTAATGGAACTGTTTTCCTTTTTTTAACTGTCCTTCACATGCATGCATGAGAAGTAGGATTTGGAGAAGAGGGAAGGATTAATCCTCCTCTCCTATTGCACAGTCGTCCTGATCAAATTGCACTTCTTATAAAGCTAATAATAATGTTGTTGTTGATGATGATTCAGTTTGACCCAGAGCATCTTCTAATACATCAGAGCATTCTCCTCAGAAAATGCAGTCATTTTTGTGCGCAACATGTGAATACCTCATGATGAACTGAGATTCTTATGATTAATACTGATATTAACTACTGAGCAAACAATATTAAAGCTTCAGCATCAGCTACCGTATTTTTTGCTCTATAAGACGCACTTTTTCCCCCCTCAAAAGTAAGGGGAAATGTCTGTGTGTCTTATAGAGCGAATGTGTGTGTGCCCGACGCCCGGGACGCTGCCGGCCCGCCTGCACCACATGGCACCACCTGGCCGTCATGCGCTCGGCACATGCTGCTCCACCCCCCGCCCCCGGCACAGGTGAGAGCTGTGCCGCTCAGGTGGAGCGGTGCGGAGGAGGAGCAGCCGCGGGCTTTAACCCACCGGCCGCACGGAGAGATGGACTGCTCACCACCACTGCCTGGGAAGACCTGCTGCGCAGCTCACCCCCACCACCTGGGAAGACCTGCCGCGGAGGAGGAGGAGGAGCTGCAGGCTTTAACCCGCCGGCCGCACGGAGAGACGGACTGCTCACCCCCACCACCCGGAAGAACACCACCGGCACGTTGCTGGCCCAGCTGCACCACACCTTGCTGGCACGCGCTCGGCGCGCCCTGCTCCACCCCCCTCCTCCGGCGCAGGTGAGAGCTGTTAATCACAGGTCGGTGTGTGTTTTCAAATGGCAACCCGTCTTTTAATGAAGCCCATGGGGAAGTGATGGGGAATGTGCCTGTGATTATCAGGAAGCTTTCCATGGATCCCTCCTCTAAAAACTAGGTGTCTCTTATGGTCAGGTGCCTCTTATAGAGCGAAAAATACGGTAAATGCCAGACACTGCAGAGAGCACCACTGTGCATGGTCTCTGACTGAGGGTTACCATGTAAGTGAAATGGTAATACAAGATGTATTTAGATGCTTTTCCTGTAACATTTGGCAAATTTTCCAGTTACCATATCAGGGTAATCAAGCAGTACTAGTTTGCCTGCAGGGAGCAGGGGGAAGCTAACATCCACTGCATGAGACTTACGCTCTTTCATAAAAATACCCTATATTGTAAACACTGGCTGCAAAATTCTTCTGCACTGGATAAAGAGGTTATGCCACATGAATGCATGTTAACAGGAAAACCTGCTCATCTGGATTTTCCCAGACTGTGCTGTGCTACAAATGGTAGGATAGGACTATTGGAGAAACAAGTGCAATAAAGGTGCAGTAAATTATAGTACAGTGATATAAAGAAGCATACACAAAAGTAAAGAGAAAATGTGGTCTGCAGAAATACAGTTGTCCATTCAAATTCCTAACTTCCCAAGTAAGGATTTATCAATCTCTGCTTCTAAAATACACATGTTAGAAAGTATGCAGTACTTAATTTTATTTGCTGCTATGCATCCATTTTATAGCTGGGACATATGGGGACTAGGAGGCTCTGGTGAGTGGGGAAATGAGGGCTTTAACACATTCCCCAATGGCCACTGGGGTCTCCCACAATAGGAGGAAAGTTCCCATTCGCAATGATGAGTATTAATTTTCTACATGAAAAAATCAGGAAATGGAGGAGAGTTCAGGGCCAAATGATGACAGGATGTGGGAACAGCTGTACCAGCTCTTCACACTATTTGGAACATCATGTGGTAACAGTTTGTATATCTATATTAATACATACTCTTTGGTTACAATCCCTTGTATGTTTACTGAAAACAAAGTTCCAGCAGTAGTGGCCTTAGGGGGAAGGCATCCTTCAAAGCATCTATTAAAATGTATTGCAAACCACCTTGAGACTAGTTATATGCTGGTGAGAAATAAAGTGCTTTTCTCACTCTGTAAGGTTTAGCAGACTTACAATTTGTGGTTATTCCATTTCACTTTTTTTTCTATACCTGCTATGGCATCCTGGTGAATCTGCTTACCAGTAGGTCCTGGCAATGGTGCAGCCTTTCTCCTTCGTTTGATATCACCCATGCATAATGATCCTAAATGGACACTGGTCTGTCTGTAAGCAATTACCAGAGAGATGTATTAACAAAAGGTTAGAAAATAATGATTTAGCAGAATTAGTATAGTTAAATCTGTCTCTTAATTAAAACAGTCTCAATAAAGATGGGACACATTAGAATCCTTTGAATATTGAAACCTAATTATGTTTGTTGACAAGCACTCTGTACGAAGAAGCAGCATACATGGTCACTGGAATAAATACTGTAAAAAATGCTTCTGATATGTCAAAACCTGCAGTCTTTTTGACTCAAAATAAAATAAAACACTGATGCTTCTGTCAAGGCAATAAGTAAGACTAATTATCTTAAGTGATCACAATACTCCTGGTGAGTTATCAATTGGCTGCTGATGGCTGCTGTTGAAATACCATTTATTGTTGCAAAAACTTTATCAGTTTTACGTTAACAAGCAGCTCTTGCCAGAATATAAACTTGTGGCAAACAAAGCTTCCTTCTCTTTAATTGCCTCTTGAATTTTAAAATGAGATACACAAAGAAGAGTATTTTGTTTCCCTCTCAAGTTGTTGATTGCAACTTCCCACATCTTCTAATACATATTTCTATGTTAATTATATTCTGTGTGAAGAAGTACTTTTATTTGTCAGTCCTCAAAAGACCTCCAATCTATTTCACTAGATGACTTAGTTGTAGTACCAAGGAAGAAGGCTAAAAAATTCTTCCATAAACTTGTTTCCACATTGTTTATATCTTTACAAGCTTTCTGCAACAAACATCCTTGGAGAGATTTTGACAATCTTCTTACCTTGGGATCACAGAGATCATGAATACAAATTGTTCGGATGGGGGTGGGGCTGTCTAATTATTCAAGCTTAACCGCTGGTACTAAAACCTGTCTATCACACAATACAAAAGGTAGTAGGGACCCTTGGTAACTATGGGAAGTAGGTGCTTCAGTCCAGAGATCTTTCTGGGCTATATAATTCTCTAAAAGGGTCATTGTACTCTCCAATACTTGACTGAAACAATAAAGATATCAAGAGGGACAGAGATAAAGCCATTAAAGTCTCCTTAGCTTAGATCTAGCATGTTAAATTAACCAAGAGGTTAAATTTATTTTAGCAGATATACCCATTTCCATACTGTTGCAGTTAAAAGCAAAGCAAAACATTTGTGACTTAATTCTTGACCTAGAAAATAAGAGGTAGTTAGCTTATAGCTTACTTCATCAACAGAGATCCATTGAAGCAGCAGTAATTCCTGAGTTCAGTTTTTAATTCCTTCTCTGGATCTTTGGCAGGAACGCCAGCATGGAAACCTCAAAGCAAAGTATTTACAGCCTCTGTACATTTGGCTCTATACTTATGAGAGTCAGGGTGGCGTGGTGGTCAGTGTGTTGAACTGGGGATCAGGGAAACAGATTCTAGTCCCTATTCGGCCAGAAGCTTACTGGGCGACTCTGGGTCAGTCACTTACTCTCAGCCTAACCTACCTCACAAAGTTATTGCAAGGATAAAATGGAGCGAACACAATGGGAAAAAAGGCAGGATATAAATGCAATGTAGTAAGAGTAACAATATTAGTTATGGGAAAACTGATTAGAGAACTAGCCCAAAGATCCAGAAAGGCAGAACTGTTGTCCAAGGCTGATCTTATACCAAAGCCTTTCACGAAATGATTAAATATTCACACACAAAATCATTTTTAAAACCCACATTAGGACCAATCAAAATATCACAAAACTGTGAGCAAGCATTTAAGCTCTTTTGAATACTTAATCAGGCTAGATGTTGCGCCAAAAAGAGTGGAAAAGGGGGGAATAAAAGAAGCTGGCATAATGCTCAGGCAACGAAATCTGTGCTTAGTCTTATGATGGCGTTTGTGACACTTGGGTTGGCCATAACTACTTGGTGGGGAGATGTGACTGCAGCAAATGACAGGGGACAGCTAAGGCACAGGAGAAGATAACTTCCTTTCTCAGGCAAATGTGAAAAGCAACAGTCCTTCACTGTTATGTCTAATTTGGCCCTCAGTCCTTTTCAGCTACTGAGATATGATGCTTCTATATTTTGTAATTAACTGTTCTTAGGCATTTTGCATACCTATCAATACCTACCCAGCAGCTTCGCACAGTATGTTAAGTTTCTGTTTCAGGGTAACATGGTGTGGGGTATGGACTTTCTGAAAAATGGAAATTCATATAACCTTTTCTTCATAGCTAGATCATCATAACATTGTTTTGACTGGGTACCACATACAATTGGTCAAATTGTGCTTAACTTTAGGAAAATAACCAGATGTCTATTATGTCCTACAATTTATGTTATGTCCTACAATCTGTATCTTCACAGTCTGAAGATGTCTAAACTGAAATACAGACTATGTCAAAAATAAGGCCTTGTAGATTAGTTAAAATCTTGTCCAAAAGTAGACTCTATACTAGTAGGAGATCTAATATGACTTAAGACAAAGAAATATTAAGCCTCCTTCTCCTCTGTTCATAGCAGGACCTAGTATTATTGCAGGGTCACTGAAAGCAAGACACTTCTGGGCAGAGCTCACAGTATAACTGAATGTATAATCTGTCTGGATTGTTATAATGAAGAGAGTCTGAGAAAGAATGGGAAGGAGGGAAACAAGAATTCAGGTAGGATGAAAGATAAAAATTAATAAAGTCAGCCAATTGAACCTGAAGACCTTAGCTCCAGGAATAACAGCTAGCTATGCTTCACCAATTCTGCTCACATTGATTATCTGTTACACTGCATTGAGATATCTAGATTATTGATCAGTTAGATTATGGAACTTGGATCCTCCCCTCCAAGCTTCTCTGTCGGCACATGCAATAGAGTTGCAACAAACAACCCTAAGTAAGGACTACTTTGTTATTGCTGTCAACCTTTGTGTGGAACATAGCAGTTACTTTTTAATTTAAAATCAATGATGTCTGAAAGGCAGATATGTTCCTTCAGCATAAATGATTCATTTGTCTTTGCAAAGCAGAAGAATCTGATAACTAGCCAGGAAGAGAGTTGCTTTGTTTTGCAATTTGAAGGAAAAGCAGGCAGCTTTTCATGCTGAAAACTGAGCAATATGATCAAAAATGAAAAAGGAACTATTATTAAAAATCTCCCCTTCCCTCTCAAAGCAAGATAACTAATTTGGTCAATTTCAGAGCCTTTGCGTGTTAATAGCTAATGGTGAAAAGTGGATGTGTATGGATTTGAAGTATGGGGGGGGCGGGTGCATACACATATATGCAAACACTGTAATTCCAATTTATGATAGAAAGTGAAAGCGCCAGCCCCCTGCATATCTAGTTTTCTCTGTGAGTTGCAGCACAGAAAAAACCTCTGAGTCTTAAGGTGTACTATGAAATAACTCTTTCATTTCTATGCAGAATACAGTTTCTAGAGAGGTTTTCCTTCCTATTCATGTCTGCAATTATTGGCATGGATTAGCCTTGAAACAATGAAGAGAGCACAGTCTATCTGAATGACTGAACTTTTAATGCATGTTTGGAGCGTAAGGTTCACCACTGCCTTTAGGATGGGTCCCCTCCTTCTCTCCTACAGGCCATCAGAATAAAATGCCCCATGTATGGGAAAGGAAGTATCCATTGGCCTTGCCTGCTCTTGAAATAGCTTTAAAAAACCTGTTCTAGTGTGTTATTTTCTTATTGATCTCATATAAGCCTAGAAATGCTTACAGACAAACAAACAAACAATATCCTGGGAAGGAAGCTAAGCATTCTATCTACTTTTTATTTAGAAAGCTTGTTTTTTCTGATTTACTGAATAAAATTGCTACGTTCCTTGCAAAAGAGATGGCAAACAGAACAAGCTCTGAGCAGTCATGCCTGTACGTTCCTTAGCACGATCCCCAGACTTGAAGATTACAAACAGCTAATTCCACCAATTCCTTTCTACATATCCATAGATCGCTGCAAGCTATCATTTATAAATAGTGTTCTGGCAGGAAGCTAGGCATGCTATTTGGCAGGGGCAAGAGAACTTGTTAAGACCACCTTGCCTGAAAACTTGGCTGTTGACGTGCTGGTGACAGGGACTTGAGCAAGTCATGTCAAAGGGAATAATTTTAAAGGAAAGACAACAGAAACTTGTCGCCCCTTTGTATGCATTTACAAACAGGGCTTTCCGGAGTATTAGGCCTAGTTAAAGCTGCCCCCTGGATAAAAAGTGTTCCTGAGCAGCCACAGACAAGCTTGGGAGACAAACAGATGTGACTATGGTCCCTGGCATTTGGCAAGAACACTCACTGTCACTAGGAGAGATATAAGCCTGGACAGGGCATCAGCTGCACAACAGTGAAGCAGGCCTGCAAGTGTCACAGCAGTGGCAAAGTTGTGGTAGAGGGAAAAGAAAGGGCTGAAAAAGCCAGACTGGTGTGAACTTATACTAGCAGGCCAAATATATATTTGTTGTTGTCATGTCTTCTGAGAAACAACAGATGATTGTAAAAATGGCTGCCAAATTTATTTTTACAAGAATGCTTTCCCTTTGTCTAGAAATATTTATTATATGTTTTCTTTATGTGAGTAGTTACAGGAATGGGAGGGATAAGAGATGCTATTTAGAGACAAAGGAGGAATACCAGGAAAGAATCCATGACGATAAATGGAAATATAGTGTTGCCATTAACAGGTACTGCCACATTAAAATCCTCAGGCTTTTTTTTAAAGAAACAGCATTAGGAACAAATGCCACAGCTGCTATTTGATGCCAACAACATCATTTTGTTTTGTTATGTTATGTTTGTTCTCTGCTGAGTCTACTTCCCTTATCATTTTAATTTCATTCTTTAGTATGCTGCATGGCAAATGAATATTTCCTGTGACTTCAAAAAAATGCTTCCATCACTGTGCTCTAAAATGTCAGGAATTTTTTCTGTTTCGTGAAAGACAGAATATGAGAGCAGCTTTCTTGTTTAATCTGCACATGCCATTAAAATGGAGTTTTTGCATTTTTAAATGTGTCTTTTAAAAGACTACATAGCAGCTGCTATATTCTATTTCCTC